CTACTGCTACTCCTTGGTTCCTTCTCACTGCTGTCTTTCAGCCACACCCATGATCTTCTGGAGGAAAGATCTACACCTAGCCTTCTCGGACAAGGGCGAAATGTATCGGAGGGCCCGTGTGCAAGTTGCGCACGTTAAAGATCCCTTGAAGGTCTAAAATCCATACGACTTGGCTTCGGCCGCCACCCGTGCAAATTCAAAAATTCCTACTAACTGAAAAAGTTTAATGTGTCTCGCTCTCATATGACCGTATGCAGTTGCGAGCGCCATAAAACACTTACCCCCCCCCTCCCCCCAATAATTTTTTATGAACCCTAATAGGGGGTGCCCACTACCGCGATCGTGTCGTATTGGGTCGATTTGGTAGTCGGGGCTAGCCAAATTGAGGGCGCAAAGCGGCCATCGTGGCACACACCGACCGACCGACGGTCGGTGACCTGCAAAAACAAATGCATTTGTTTTCAGGCCTGCGAGTCGCGCGATCGGGTGGTTTGAAGCCAATCACAACATGGCTGAGTCACGTGTTCTTGTTGACTCTCAAAACCCGGTGGTGCCCTATTCGAAAAAGTGCGGACTTTGCGAACAGAGTTATCCAACTTGTGTGAAAATCAATAAAAGCGAAACTAACAGCCTCTGCTATTTCTATTCTTCTTCTGGAGAAACGAAAGAGAGTTTCAAAACAAAGACTGCTACGCCATCTGATTCTGCGGACACTTTTGTGGCCAAGTGAACTGTCTTGTTATGAACGATCTTTGATAATAGAAAGTCATCGTTGTATGGGATTCCAGGTTGCCGCAGCACTGCAACAGGAAACTGCAGAAATGATATCTGGAAGCCATTGAGGTTAAAGGTTTCTCTACTTTATCTTCCAGGTCGTCGGGTACAATCGCGGTGGGGTTGTAGTGTGCCCTGAAACCACCAGAAAACGACCCGACCCGACGACCCGTACCGACCCGAACCGACCCAAACCGACCCGAACCGACCCGACCCGAAACGACCCGACCAGATCGCACTAATGTGCACCCCCTATTAGGTAGATGCAAGCGGGACACAACCAGTTACTAAAAATTCACGTTACTCAGCACGCATAGGTCGTAAACATAATGGTTTATTGGAACGAAAAATGATACAATAAATCAAATAGCCATTCTCTGTCTCGCATTCCCATATATTACGATGACAAAGACACTGAATCATTCGACTATAACACAAAATCATATTGGCGTTTCATCGTGTAATACAGTTGCAAACAAAATTCACCGAGGCAAAGACAATGGAGCACACCTACTGCTTACGCAGGAGTGCGCTATATAAAGTAGTCCCAGTGCAAGCTGAAAACACAAATTCTTTTTAAGATTAGTATTACCACTTAGTTTACCAGAATGCTATCAGCTTCAGCCTATAAATTAAATGTACATGAGAACAAAATGAAGATTTCTGAAGTTTGCAATACAGCTGATTTAAACATTCGAACCTAAAATATAGCAAAAAGGGGGTGGGGG